CGGTGTGCACCTGTCGGACGTGAGCGGTCAGGAAACCCCTTGTCTGGAAAGCCTTCGCACAACCCGTCCATTCGCACCGGAATTTGTTGACCACTTTGCGGGGTTTGGCGTCGGGATTGTGTGCTTTGGACAACTGATGGATCCGTAGGTTCGGCGCCGTATAATAGGCTTTATCACAACCGGCGATATCGCAGGGAAAGGGCGGCGCTTTCATCGTGTGTCTCATTTTGTGTACATTAAGTGTGCTTCGCGTGAGTGTCTCGAAGTGGCAGCCATTTTGGTCGCATTTAAACCTCTTGGACGACGTGTGGATGTATTGATGCATTTTCAAGTAGGGAAGTGTTGTGAACCGTTTGCTACAACTGTCGCACCCGAACGGCCGCTCCAGAGTGTGTTTGAGCCGTATGTGAGCCATGAGTTGCACTCTCTCGCAGAACCTACGGTCGCAGTCAGAGTAGTCGCACACGTATTGCTTCGGTCGGAAGCGCTTCCGTTTTAGGCCAATCATCGGCTCGTTTTGTGTGCCAACACTTTCGCCACTTTTTTCGCTTTTCTTAACGTATTTTCTCTTTTTATGAACGCTTTTGTCATCCATTTCTTCGTCACTTAAAGTCTGTTCCCATTTGTGGTCAGAATTATCCTCCGATTCATCGCTTATTGTCTTCTTTTGCTTTTTATGTCTCCCTTTTGTTGTTGTCTTCGCTTTATTGCCATTCAATGTCTTCTTTGGTTCACTTCTTGTGTCCAATGATTGTATGAGTTGTCGGACACTGTGTTTGTTGTCATCACTGGATGTGATGTCTTCGGGCACTGGATGTGCATCGAGTGATGTGTTGAATGACTTGATATCATGTGTGAAAGTGTGGTAAATGTGTGTCAATTGATTCCACGTGTGTTTGTGTCCACTATTTTGAGGACAAATACAGTTTGCATTCAAACTAATCACGAATTGTCTGTACTTTTCAAACAAATCCATTATTTTGTGACAACTTTTCANAACAAATCCATTATTTTGTGACAACTTTTCAATTCATATAAAAGTCTTGTGTTTTCAGTCCAGAGCTCTTCCAACACATCATTCACTAGTATTTTAGCCATAATTTCAATACAAATCAAATCAAAACCTAATAATCAAATCAATGACTGGTTTTAAAGTCAGACAAAAGTGTTTACATTTACGATAAATATTCAACTCATTGGTTGTCATAACAACTGCTCAGACAAACAACACGTGATTTCAAAGTAACACAAAAACAAAATACAAACAACTTTTAAATTGTGTCACAAATTGAGTCCAAAATTACAATCAAAACCAATGAAACCCAAAATCAGTGCCAAAACGAGTGAATTAAAGACAAAGACTTTGAGAAATGAGTTGAAAAAATTGAAATCAATATTAAATGCGAAACAAAAACTGTTGAATACTTTGCGACAGAAATGCAAACGATTTGCCATTCAATGCAATTGCCATCAAAACCAACACAAGAGGAACCGTTTGCTCGACTTCTGTCACCGATTGGACGGACTGTCGGCTCAAGACATCACTGATGGCGAGCGTCAACTCATCTCAACCGACGGGACCATCAAATGGGACCAATTCTTGGCCGATAACTCGACCGCTGCGGTCGAACGCGTGGACAACAGGACCTACCGATGCGTTGAATGCGACAAATCGTACCACTATTTGTCTCAATTGCGAAGACATCTGATCCGCCACTCGGAGGACGTGCGGCGCCATCAGTGCCCGAAGTGTCACAAGACGTTCAAATGGCGCGAAGGCCTGAAGAAGCACGTGATGTACAGACACGACAACCTGCGACCCGAGAAGACTGTTCGCTGCGCCGCACCGGCGGACGAATGCGACAAATGGTTTCGACACGTGTTTCAGATGAACCAACACTACCGGCAACGACACAGCCGTCCCCTAAGATATCGGTGCGAATACACCGACTGTGCCGTCGATTGTGACGGCTTTGTAACCAAACACGAGTTGGACCGACACATCCGGTTGGAGCACATGAACGCCCGACCCCTTCACCGCTGCGAAGAGTGTCACAAAGAGTTTACCTGCGAATCAAATCTGGCGAAACACGTGAACGTTAAGCACCTGCGGCTCGAGTCCTACGAGTGCCCGGAGTGTGACCAGAGGTTCACCACTAAACCCAAGTTATCGCAGCACGAGTTCAGCGCTCACAACCGGTCGAAGACCTATCGGTGCGAATGGCCGGCGTGTGAGTTCACTACCGTTCACCACAAGTCCATCGCTCGACACAAACTGATTCACACCAATGAACGCCCGTTTGTGTGCGACTGGTGTCCGCTCGACGCCGACGGCCGGCCTTCTGGTGAGCCGTGTGGCGCCTCTTTCAAGCAAATCAATACTCTTAAGGTTTGACCACATTTTTGACCGCAAAATGTGTTTTGTTTTATAAGTTTTGTTGCATTTTTAGGCGCATGTTATGAAACATACGGGAGAGAAGCCGTTTGAGTGTCCGGCGCCCGACTGTGCGCTCAGATTTCAAAGTAAACGGTCGGCTAATAATCACTTCACGCGAAAACATTGTGATAACGATAAGACAACCCCTGGAACTGATGTTGCGGTCAAACAAGCGATTGATTGATATTTTGATACGATTTACAATTATTTCTAACCACTCATAGACTAAATCTATTTAACTTAATTCCCATTTATTTTTTATATAACTTTTATGTAATTAACAAAATGTGCACAATTATCATGTGATATACAAGTGATAATTTACCACAAATTATTTATTTTATGCCACAATCACTAACTTTATTGAATTAAAATAAATCCTATTTTAATATTGACTCATTTCTCTCGCGATTTCTCTTAATTGTTATCAAATTTAAATCATTTATGAATTATCAGTGATTTAATTGAATTGAATGAAAGTATCGATGAAATAGATGGTGAAGAAGGAGAGCAAAAGCAAAGCAAAGGCCGAGCCGTCGGCGCCGCTGACCAAACCGTCGGCGCCGTTGACCGAAGCGGAAGAGCTAAAAGAGCTGAAGGAGAAGATGAAGACGTGTTTGGAAGACCTCATCAAAAACAAGTTCCCGAAGAAAGTGATGGAAATCAAAGCCCTAATCGCCGAGTCGTTTGACATCAACAAAATGACTGACTTTAAGCCCGAAGTGAACATTCCTATACCCGCCAAACCCACGGCCGACAGCCAATCGCAAGCAGTGGCCGATAGCCGATCGAGACCTCCAGAACTCGATCGGCGAGTGTTTCTCTTCCCCAACGGTGTGAACGGCACTAACGAACCGATACAACGGCTCATCGATCGCCTAAAGCCGTTACTCTTGGACTTCGCGACAGACCTGCGGCACCTGAAGTTCGCCATCGAGTTAATGGTTCCCACCATCGAAGACGGCAACAATTTGGGCGTTGATATCCAGAAGGCGACCATCAATGAGTTGGAGAGCGCTCTTCACCAGTCGCTGCGACACATCTCGCAGATGACACAGTTCTACATCAGTCGCGGCAATACCGTCGCCGGTATCGCCCGATACCCGCACTGTCAGGACTATCGCCAGTGTCTCATCGAAGAGGACCAACGCTTTTATCTCACACTATGTCTTATGGCCCGTCATTTGAGGGACCGATACGTACTGATCAACGATCTGGTGCTCAAGAACTTGGATAAGATTAAGAACCCGAGACCCGATCGCTCGAGTAGTATGTATTGATCACGTGTTTTGCGGTCATTTGTTTCACGTTTTATCAATCGGTTTATGGTTTGAATTTTATGAATGTTTTGCTAATCAATAGTTTTTTTTGTAACAAAACTTTTGTTTAAAGTTTTTCTGTAATGATTTTTGTTCAATGATTAGAAAATAAAGTGTTTTTTCAATTAATTTTTACGAATTGATGATTTAATTACTAGACTATATGCGAGCGATTAGTTATTTTATGACCTAGGTTAAAATCCAAAATTAACATTGAACACCAAGTTAATAACACAGTTAATAAAAATAACTATGTAGCACTTTTATTATTTAAACATGATGATCTTATCTAACACGGTAGCATGATGTAAAAGTAACAAGGTGATACAAAAAATGCAACTAAATATGAGTTCTCAACAAATATCTCACCCAAAAGTTGTGGACGTCTTGACGCCTGGAACTGATCGAAGTTTGAGTACACAATACTGACGTCACGTCGACGTCAGTCACTAGTGTTGCCATCGATGTGTCTCCTCTCCAAACACTACACAAAACACAACATCAATACAAACATTGCATGTATTTCAGTCATCCCTCTCAACACATCCAGCGATGAACACCCGAAGCCGTCAGCCGTGGAAGCGGTTGAAGACAAGCGAAGTGTTTGTTCCGAACAAAAACGCCGTATTGTTTGAGAAGATCCGACAGTCGTTGGCCGTAGTGTTTGGCACCGAAGCGGTCGAAGAGTTTGAAAACTTTATGGACGCGTTGGGAGATGTGCTGAGCGTTGGCCAAGACTTGGTGGCCAAACAGCGGGAGGCCGTACAGGCAATGCTGGGCCCGGACTCGCCCGACATGACTCTGGAGGTGGCGGACGACACGGAGGTTGTGGTGAAACGTGAGGTACTGGACGTCGGAGTCGAACGTGACGTCAAGCCTATGGCTGTGGAGTCGGTGGCGGAACCGCCGGTGGACGGAGTGCTGGAACAGTATAAACGATGTGGTTTTGAATACTTGGATGTGTTTGATGTGCGGAATCGGTGCCAATACGTGGACCGCTCTAACAATATGGCCAAACACTGGAAGGTAGCGCATAAGCAACCCATGCCTACCGGCGATGGCAACGGGTGGACACATATCTACCTCACGGCTGAAGAGTTTGATAAGAAACTGAAGGATTGGAAAGAGTTTAAGAAAAGTCTTAAATAATTCATTTCATTAATCACATCATTAATCATATATTAAACACATTTTTAATGTAATTATTTTTGTAATTCAATAGTTTTTATTACACTTTTGTAATGATTGCTAAAATAAACTGTTTTTTGAGAATTATTTTTGTAAAATTTTTTGTGAAATGATAATTAAATGAACAATTTTAATGACGTGATTATATTTATGCAACTTTTCCATTTGTATTACAAAAATTAATTAAACTTAAACAGTAATGATTAGAAATTATAAATATAAAACAAAACTATATTTTAATATAAACTAATCCAATAATTGTGAATATATTACGAGAATATTACACAACAACTGGAATGAGTGGCCGCTTATCGGCGGCGGTTTGGTATCGGAGTAGCAGTTGTTTGACGGCGTTCGCAGAGAAGGGCCGACACTCGCTCTGCGGACGTCTTGACGTCTGGAACTAATGGCTTGAATACGCAATCCTAACGCTGTTTGGACGTCAACTTTAGCGTCGCTGACGGCGTCAGTGTCTGAACGTCAACGTCGCCCACGCCGTCAGTATCTGGACGTCAACTTCACTCCACTGTCCCGTCACTCTCTGGTGTCGCCCCCGAGTGTCCACTCTTAGCAATTGACACACACATCACACGTGTTTCGCACATCCGTATCAACGCAAGTAGTGATGGCCTCCGGAAGCGACAAACCGTGGAAGAAGTTGAAGACAAGCGAAGTGTTTGTTCCGAACAAAAACGCCGTATTGTTTGAGAAGATCCGGCAGTCGTTGGCCGTAGTGTTTGGCACCGATTCGGTGACAGAGTTTGAAAATTATGTGAACGCAACGGGAGGTGCGTTGAGCGAACACCGGGAGGCCATGACTGCACTGCTCGGACCGGATATGGGAACCACTCTCGCGGACGACAAGAAGGTCAAAGTGGAGATGAAGGTGAAGATGGAGGTGAAGAAGGAGGTGTCGGACGTTAAGCCAGAGCCGGATTGGATGGCAAAGCCGGCGGCGAATAGAGTGGTCGAGCAATACAAACGATGTAATTTTGTGCCGCTGTATAAACGGTGCCAATACGTGGACCGCTCTAACAATATGGCCAAACACTGGATGAAAGCACACAAACAACCGATGCCTACCGGCGATGGCAACGGGTGGACACATGTCTACCTCACGGCTGAAGAGTTTGACAAGAAAATGAAGGCCTGGAAAGTATTCAGCAAAAGCCTCTCTAAATCATCCATTAACTAATCTCTCATTCATTTCGTTAATTAAATTATTTAATTAAAAAAGTTATTACTTCTTTGTAATGATTGCAGAATAAATTGTAAACTGAATTTTTGGCAATAAATTTATATGAATTAATAATCAAATGAATTAATTGTGAGAACAATTTAAAGTGAGCATAATTTTTACATTCATATTACCGTAATGTTTACATTTCAGTTACAAAAAACAAAATTAAAACTAAATATTAATGATTAGACAAATTGAAACAAATACTATATTTTTTTTATAAACTATAACATAAATTAACTTAAATTCTAATTATTATGAATAACAACGGGAATGAATGGTCGCTCATCGGCGTCGGGTCTGGTATCGGAGTAGCAGTCGTTTGGCGCCGTCCAGAGAGATGTGCCGACACTCGCACTCAGCGCTACCGTTGTATCGCTTCAATAGGTTTACCATATCTGTGGTGACGCCTGACGTCAGCATTATCTTAATGTACCGAACCTTCGGGTCTGCAAAACAAATGGACACAACATTTAGTGACACGAAATCAATCACATAATCACTAGCGCTGTAGTGAACGCAATGGTAATGCGGGGATCATGTGATCCAAAAAATGACACATACCGTCGGAAATGGTATCAAACACGTCGCCGTCATTGTCCTCGTGAGCGGAATCGAGCCATTCCTTAATCTCAAAACTGGACTCAAACAACGGCAGTATGAATATAATGGGTAGAATGGGGTCGAGACAGTACAACAGTTGCCGTATGTCCGGCCATTTGATGGTAATCACGGCTCTACTCGCCAGCGATAGGCAACTCATGCGTACGATTCGCAGCGTCACTCCCGAGGGGTCCATCTCTACGGCCCGACTCTTACCCCGAAATGTGCCGAACATAACGTACTCGCAGTCAGTGGTTATGGACTCTTGTATGGGAGCGTATCGTCGATCAGTGGCCACACTATGACACGCCATCAGAGCGTGAAGAGTATCGGTGGTCACCGTTGAGTCCGGAATATTCTCATCGTCTTCGGTGTTGTCGTCGTCGTCGTCGCTGTCGTCGTCTTCGGTGTCATCGGCTGTGCGTTGGCTTTCCATCAACTGTTCCAACGCTCGCTTCAAACTGAACTCGTTGTCCGTTTTGGCCCTAACCTCGGCCTCGAGTCGAGTGTTGCGGTCCTTCAGTTTGTTTGTCTTGAATTTACTCAATTCGAGTAATTGTCTGAATAGATTCGCTTTGGCCTTGAATTCTGTCACCCGTTTCTCCAGCTCTCGGCATCGGTTGTCCGACGCCTTCACGCGCTCTCTAAACGCGTCCCTATCGGCCATCACTAGACGCAGACAGTTGTGACCCTCACCTACCGGTCCGACGGGTGTGAGTCCACACACCGGACACAAGCGATACGTGCAGACGGCTTCGTGAGCGGCCATTAGCGCCAACTCTAGCTCTTCGAGACAACCCGTGGACTCGTGGCGGCACTTGATGTGCATTTCGCCGATCATTGAATTGATCTTAAGGTTGTACTCGAGGACAAACCCGCGCGCAATGAACAGCGTCTGCGTGTCGTTGGCGGCCGCGGAAGGAGTGGCCATTTCTTGCGAGCGCTTCCGTGTGGCCAACGGTCGGCGACACTCCGGACAGTCGTGTCGATCGCTGGCAATCCAATCGGCGATACAGTCTCTGCAATACGTGTGGCCGCAGTCGTTGGTCACCGCTCTGTCAAACACGTTGAGACAAATACAGCACTTGAGGTGTTTGGCCAGAAAGTCAGTCAACGACACGAACCGCGAGCTATCAATGCCCGGCATTTCACGGCTCGACTGGTGGCCACAAATCGTGGATTTGATCCCAAACTGAAAACAATACAAATGGTGTATACAAACAGCAAATCACTTCTCAATCAATTACCTCTTTGGTTTGTTGTGTCCGGACTTCACGTGATTATAGATGTGGTGGCGATTGTGTGGTCACAAGTGGTGGTCAGAAGTGGTGATAATCGGGTGTTGGGAAGCAATGGTCGGCCAGCAGTGGTCACAACTGATTGTCTCTCAATGTCTGACAATAACAACACTAATGAATGAGACATTAGTTTCTATGGAAACCAATGTAAACAACAAAACAACATATGATGTGATATTTTGTTGTTTGAGTCGTTTTTATGGCATTTATATGACTGCCGAAGAACTGATCCATTGGCTAATCACCTGTGGATAAACACAATCATTAGTGGATCATCAGCTGATCCCATAACACATCTCAATGGCTAAATGTGTGGCAATCAGGCACTGAATCGGGCCGTCATTTCTGGCGAAAAACCTTTTTTTGGGTTAATTTTATGATTAAATAAACTTTAATTAACTTTTTTGTAAATTATTATTAACTTTCTTAACATAATTTTATTATTGTTTGTAAATAAATATGTTATTAATCGCGATATAAATGCAATTAATATCCCAATAATCCCTTAATCCGTTGGTTATGGTCGTGAACGGAGGCTATTGCGGAGGTTTGTGGTCATAATTAAGTGATTCGTTGTCCAATCGATGATATGGTCAACACTCGGATCAGATGCGAGTCCGGGTTATACCACATGTCTATACAAACTATCCGTGCGTTAGATATTTGGCGACCAAATAAACACAGAGATTGACAACAATTACAAACGCGTTGAACGAGTGGTGAGTTGTCGGCGAAGAATTACACCACTGATGGATAGCCGAAGACATGGTCTGATTCCAGACATCGGTCACCGATTGGTCGCACTCGGAGGCGATGAGAGCGCCGGTGAGACAGTGTGTGAACTTCGGCAACGACTCGCACGCCTCGTAACCGACTTCGAAGCGCAACATTTTGGCCACAATTAACGGCCACTTGAGGTACGGCTTCGGCGCCGAAGAGTAGAGGATATAGTCTTCGCGGCATTGAGTCCGCAGTCGTGTCTCTTCGAGACAGAAGCCGTTTTGCAGCAATCGTTTGATACCATTGCTCTCATTGGCGCACAACTGGTTGCGGACGGCGTCCAGCGTTTTGACCACACGTTTCAAGTGATCATAGTTTGCAAATGAGACACATTTCGGTAAATAGCTTTCATAACACACCCGGAGGTCAACCAATTGGCCGCACATTACGTCCCGCTCTCGACGACCCATGTCTGGAGAGCCGACCGAACCGTCCGCTCCCCGACTGTACGGCGACTTCTTGATGATGGCTTCGATGGTCGAGAAGTCCCGCTCCAGATATCTATGAAGGCATGCGTGCATTCCTCGAGAGTGACGGTCACAACACTCGCCTATCCATAGGGTTGTCAAAAGTGCACACAATTTATACATTAAATTCATTGCTATTTAAATATAATTTATGTTTAAATACGGCATTCAATTGACTAAAAGCTATTTCACATGATTTTGAAAATAAATCAATTATTTGTTGTTTTAATAACACATTTAATGAATGAATCAATTAATTAGACATTTAGTGTATTGAACAACAAATTCCTAATCTATTTATATCTTTGATAACATCCTATGCTATATATTGTAGTCCAAAGGCACCGGGAGTTTGCATTTGTCGCTATATTTAGCATCAGTATTGCTATACTATTTTGTAATTAATTAACTTATTATATAAGTAAGTTACTAATCAACAGAGCATTGCTAAATATGCATTTATAAGCAGTCAAATATGTCATATAATATGCAAGAAAACAGGGCCAAATATGCACTTAAATATGCATTTATTTTTCATAGATTTATTGATGAATATTGCAATTTTGCAATTAATATATCGATTATAAAGTTATTTGGTAAAATTTTGAATACTTAACTATAATTTGAGGAGTTTTTGCATATATTTAGTAATAAATGCTCAATTTTAATCAATGTTTCAAAAGCACACACTTTTGAGCAAATTTTATTTTCCTAGTTTTTCATGTTATTTAGAACAAAGAAATATTTTCAATATATTTTATGTGACTTAATTCACATTTATAATTTTGGTACGTTTTTTAATTAGCTTGCAAATAAGTAAATATCAAAATAACAACATAAAAACTCATACATTTTAAATAAAATCGTAAAATATGCGCTTAAAATGCAGTTATAGTTAAAATATGCGGTAATTCATGAAATATGCATTTATATGCAAAATAAAACTCGGCTAAAGTGACCCCCAGTACATGATCGGTGGACATCCGGACACTCACACCGATACTATGCACCGCTAAATATATGCGAGTATGCATTTAACAATGGCCTGATGATTATTGTTTTTATTAACACAAAGTCCAAAATGACAAACAAATTGTTTTGTTTGTTGAAAGATATTGAGAGGATATATGAATCACTCGAAGATAGAGATCAGACAATACGGTAATAACTCGGATGATAGCGTATCCATGGCTAGAGTTAGCAAACTTTGAGACAATCAAAAGATATATAACTTTGAAAATAATAAACGGTTTAAATGTAAAGAACAAAATTATTTATTTATAATCAAATAAAAATAAATCGTAAATAAAATTTATAGACAATATTTTTATTATAATTCTACATGTTTGGATAATATAATAATTTTAATAAATTATACAAAATAATCAATTTAATTATTTAAATGCAATTTACAATTTAAATGTCGTTTTAATTCATATCTCGTAGCAAAGCGTTGATTACATGTATTATGAATACATTTATGAAATCTTATATTGAAATGTCTTTGAATATGTCGTGTTAAATTAGTTTTTATGCTAAAACTTTTATTACAATCTCTAAAATTACACACAAATGGTTTTTCTCCCGAATGTATGCGTTTGTGTTGAATTAGATCTGATTTCTGTGCAAAACTTTTGCCACAATTTTCTTCATTACATTTGAATTTCCTTTCATTCAAATGAAC